CGGTAGCTCTAATATCATCAGTCACATTTTACACGACACCCTGTATATTAGTGTTCCACAGAACGTAACGATGCAATTTAGTATTTTATTAAACGTGTATCATCGGTACAAATTATCGGGATATAAATTGAAGTTCAATTAGTAAATGAAGTTATGTTTTGAAAGGATGCGTTGAAGTACAAAATGTTATTTTATAGATATATGTCTCTCGAAACTTTGATATAGTGTTCATAGGGGTGGTTTTACCGAAAGGAGAGGTTTCAAAGAGCTGATAATTTTTTTAGAAATTAAATAAGAAAGTACAGTACGTTATATCTGCATTGTACGCTGTAGATAAGAGTTACGATTAATTTGTAATATTAAGAATTAAATTAAAGTAAATAAAATAAGTTGAATGTATTTTTCGATGTGGTTAAGAACGAATTAATAAAATATTCCGTACGATAATCAATAAATAATGTATATATAATTTTGACTACTTTTTTTATAACCTATAATAGTGGATTTATTAGCAGGAAGGTAATTGTCAGATTTGTTAATAATTATGACACTCTGAAGTATCGGGATGATAAGTGATCGTGTCTATATATTGCCAATCAATTTTCATTAGTGGAAATATCGGAGTTAAACATTTTGAGCGCGATCGATCCTCAGGACTTCCGTTATGTAAGAGTGAGCATGTATGGTAAACTAAGCGACACGGATACCGCATTATGGTTTCACATAGAATTGATTTTTCACCTGAGAGTGAAAAAATTTTCAAATCCATAATACTTGATTAATTTACAAATTTTTATATAGAGGAAATTACTCATGTTTCTAACTTTTTAGATTTCTATATTTTTTAATTTTCCTATTTTGGAATTTTCAAATTTGTAAACGTAGATTTTCAAATTTCCATTTGTTTGGTTACCAGATTTTTATACTGTCAAACTTCCTAACCTTCAACTGTAAAATTTCTAATTTTCTAAATTTCAATTTGTATCTTCTCAATTATGAGATTTCTAAATTGTCAAATTTTCAATTCCTCAATTGTAAAATTTTGAAATTTCTAATTTTCTAAGTTTCAATTCGCATCTTCTCAATTATGAGATTTCTAAATTGTCAAATTTTCAATTCCTCAATTGTAAAATTTTGAAATTTCTAATTTTCTAAATTTCAATTTGCATCTTCTCAATTATGAGATTTCTAAATTGTCAAATTTTCAATCCCTCAATTGTAAAATTTTGAAATTTCTAATTTTCTAAATTTCAATTTACATCTTATCAATTATCAGATATCTAAATTGTCAAATTTTCAAGCTCTCAACTGCAAAATTTTCAAATTTCAATTTGCTACTTCTGAATTATCAAATTTCTAAATTGTCGAATTTTCAAGCCCTCAATTGTAAAATTTTCAAATTTCAGTTTGCTACTTCTCAATTATCAGATTTCTAAACTGTCGAATTTTCAAGACCTCAACTTTAAAATTTTCAAATTTCTAATTTTCCAAATTGTAGTTTACATTTTCTGTATTACCAAATTTCTAAATTATTAAATTTCCAAATCTTCATCTTCAAAATTTGCAAATTTCTAATTTTTTAAATTTTCTTTAGTTACCAAATTTATAAATTGTCAAGTATCCAAGTCCTCTTCTTCAAAATTTCTAAATTTTTTAATTTTTTGAATTTCAATTTGTGTATCTTCAATTATCAAATGTCTAAATTATCAAGCTTCCAAGTGCTCAACTTCAAAATTTCTAAATTTTTAATTTTTTTTAAATTTGTATTTATATGTCTTCAATTGTCAAATTTCTAAATTGTCAAGCTTCCAAGTGCTCATGTTCAAAATTATTAAATTGTTATTCTTTAAATTTCTATTTGTATGTTTTCAATTATTAAATTTCTAAATTGTCAAGCTTCCAAGTGCTCACGTTCAAAATTATTAAATTTTTATTCTTTAAACTTCTATTTGTATATCTTCAATTGTTAAATTTCTAAATTGTCAAGCTTCAAAGTGCTCACGTTCAAAATTATTAAATTGTTATTCTTTAAATTTCTATTTGTATGTTTTCAATTATTAAATTTCTAAATTATCAAGCTTCCAAGTGCTCATGTTCAAAATTATAAAATTTTTATTTGTATATCTTTAATTACCAAGTTTCTAAATCGTCAAACATCCAAGTCCTCACTTCTAGAATGTTCAAATTTCTAATCCTCCAAATTTTAGTTTGTATCTCTTAATTTACTAAATTTCTAAATTGTGAAACTTCCACACGTTGAGCTTAAAAATTCAATTTCAAGAAATTTAAAACAAAATTTGATTTTAACAATTTTTTAATTTACAAGTTTTTATTCAAATTCCTAAATTTGTGTAGATGTCTAAATTTCACTGTTTCACAATATTATCATTTCTCATACAGAAGATATTTCCAACAATGCAACGCCTAACATTAAATACAAAGTAAAAATCAATAAACGTTTCCATAAAGCCAATCTCAATTACCCACAATATACATTTCAGTGAATCGATCGGTATACAAACTTATATCCACACATTTGTAATTCTGTGTGGTTAAAAATCATTCAGATTCTCATACAAATGTATCATAATAAATAACCCGCTTGAGCGATAAGAGAACTCGGTGTGGTATCCATAATGCTTTATCGACATTTGTACGGATGTGGTTCGATGTTTAGGAGGAAGTATCTTAACGTATAATTATACGAAAGCTACCTCCACGTGATAGACACAAGTTTATTTCATAATTACACGTACTTAATTTTTTCCCACCGTCCTTCGCTTTTATTTCCATTCATTATTACAAATGCATACGATCAATACCGTCGGTGTATTTCTAGTTCTAACCGCAAGTTTCGAATCTTAGGTGTATTGCCGGATTGCGGTAGAAAACGAGATGGCAGCAACTTTATTAAAGCTAAAGTATATATCATCGAGTGTGAAAATCGTTTGGGCTGTCCTTGAAGCAAAATTTATCCCTCAAACAATCCCGAGTACGTTCATGTTTGCATAAGTATCTGCTCGGTGAATTCTGAAAATTGTATGAATTTCGATGCCAAAGTAATTATATAACAGTCTACGATACACAACGTTGACATTAACCCTGTATTTCGGTTCGGGGTGTCTCCGCTCGTCGAGAACACTGAACGTATCTCCGATGTTCGAAGAGTGTTTGAGTTTTCTACTGTGTTCTCTCTAAAAGAGTCCTTGGAAGAATACGCACGAGGACGCGGTTTTGCGCGTATCACGAAACGATAAGCAGAGATCGCGCTACAACAGGAACGGCAGGAAGCTGCATGAAAAGCCCTCGTAACCGTCTGGTCATTCTCTCTTGGGATTCCGTGGCAGTCGGACGCGTTTCGAAAGCTTCGACCTCGTCTTCACCCTATTACTCTCTTTCTCCTCGCATTTTCCCTGCTACCAACACACTTCTACACCCTTCCGCGAGACAGTAATTCCTCGTCTGTCTCCGCTTACCCAGTTCGAAGGGAAGTAGGTGGGTTCTCCGTTGGAGGATCGCGTTCGGCCGTGTATCTATCGCGCGATTCGCGTAAGCTCCGTCGCGAGGAGTCGCCGTGTCACGCAGCGGGGTCGATCGAATCGTCGTACGAGCAACGAGGAGGTGGTAAAAACGCGAGGTGGAGCGAAAAGGATCGGGCGAGCCGGCCGCCATCACTGCGAGCCAGTGCCACCTGGTCGCGAGTCACCGAAGGAGACGCGCGGGGGGAGGGCGCGAAGGGGGTCTAAGGGGGATGCGTATTGACGCGACTGCGCGATTTCGGTGACGCGTTGGAAAAGGGTTGCGATCTCCGCGACGGTGGGGAGCCCCCGTGTGCTGAACAGAGAGAAAACGGCGAAGAGAGGGAACGTTCGCGAGGAGGGGACGGCCTGAAAAGTTCGGGCCAGGCTCGGTTCGATCGCTCAATATTCATCCCTTGGCCGGACGAGAGCGCCCGAGAACAGCGGCTCCAGACGAGGGCACGAATCGACCCTTCCTTCCTTTGCGTCCTCGCCCGCGGAGCTGCTCGATCGCGGCACCGTTCCGTTCCATTCCGTCAGAGGACGAACAAGATCAGCGGCAGAAAGCGGCGGACAAGCCTCGACCAGGGATATTCGTACGTCGTCGTTCGTGGTGATACGCGGGATCGTTCTATCTGTCCATCGTTCGAACCATCCCAATGGAGGGCAAGAAGGAACAGTATTACACACCGCCGCCGAAGCTCGGCAAATGGGAAGGCTTCAAGGTTTTTCTATGGAACTCCGAGACTGGACAGTTCCTGGGACGTACAGGAGCTAGTTGGGGTAAGTCCGAATACACCTAATCTCCTAAAGTCCGATGCTCGCAAATCCTTACCTTAATTCTCATATACTCGAAGTTCTAAGAGATTCGAATAGAAGTTCTACGCAGAAGTTAGGTCAGGTTATTGTCCCGAATTCCGGTACTTTAGTCGAATAAACCGCCTCGAATAAATAGTCTCGAAACCGCCTTTTATAAAGTACTTCGATCGATGATTTTTCGTAGATATTCCTGTAAAGCATGTCACGAACGTAACTCGAATATCCGATTGACATTTAATGGTAACCCCATCGTTTCCTGACGTAGAGCGTCGCAATGTACACGCGCACTGCAGCTCGCTGGCTATATATCGTGCATGAAGAGCTTTCGTGCTGCATTCAAATGAGTAAAGACGTTCTGATCGTGGTTTAATCGATTGCTCTGTAACGGTGATACAAAATGATACGTTTACCCTGAGAAAGCTGTTCCATTCTTTTTTTATTCAAAGAACTTCTTATATGTTACCAGTCGGAATTTTATGGCATTCCGTTTTATCTGACGTCCCTGATAACGCCTTTTTACGCTTCTAATTTCTGTGCAACTTGAAATTTCAAGGTTTTTCGGGTGTTGAAAAAATAGGAGGGGCGGTAACCCTTGCGGTTTCCATTGCGAAACTGTTCCATATTTTTGTTTGTCTAAGGGGGATGCGTATTGACGCGACTGCGCGATTTCGGTGACGCGTTGGAAAAGGGTTGCGATCTCCGCGACGGTGGGGAGCCCCCGTGTGCTGAACAGAGAGAAAACGGCGAAGAGAGGGAACGTTCGCGAGGAGGGGACGGCCTGAAAAGTTCGGGCCAGGCTCGGTTCGATCGCTCAATATTCATCCCTTGGCCGGACGAGAGCGCCCGAGAACAGCGGCTCCAGACGAGGGCACGAATCGACCCTTCCTTCCTTTGCGTCCTCGCCCGCGGAGCTGCTCGATCGCGGCACCGTTCCGTTCCATTCCGTCAGAGGACGAACAAGATCAGCGGCAGAAAGCGGCGGACAAGCCTCGACCAGGGATATTCGTACGTCGTCGTTCGTGGTGATACGCGGGATCGTTCTATCTGTCCATCGTTCGAACCATCCCAATGGAGGGCAAGAAGGAACAGTATTACACACCGCCGCCGAAGCTCGGCAAATGGGAAGGCTTCAAGGTTTTTCTATGGAACTCCGAGACTGGACAGTTCCTGGGACGTACAGGAGCTAGTTGGGGTAAGTCCGAATACACCTAATCTCCTAAAGTCCGATGCTCGCAAATCCTTACCTTAATTCTCATATACTCGAAGTTCTAAGAGATTCGAATAGAAGTTCTACGCAGAAGTTAGGTCAGGTTATTGTCCCGAATTCCGGTACTTTAGTCGAATAAACCGCCTCGAATAAATAGTCTCGAAACCGCCTTTTATAAAGTACTTCGATCGATGATTTTTCGTAGATATTCCTGTAAAGCATGTCACGAACGTAACTCGAATATCCGATTGACATTTAATGGTAACCCCATCGTTTCCTGACGTAGAGCGTCGCAATGTACACGCGCACTGCAGCTCGCTGGCTATATATCGTGCATGAAGAGCTTTCGTGCTGCATTCAAATGAGTAAAGACGTTCTGATCGTGGTTTAATCGATTGCTCTGTAACGGTGATACAAAATGATACGTTTACCCTGAGAAAGCTGTTCCATTCTTTTTTTATTCAAAGAACTTCTTATATGTTACCAGTCGGAATTTTATGGCATTCCGTTTTATCTGACGTCCCTGATAACGCCTTTTTACGCTTCTAATTTCTGTGCAACTTGAAATTTCAAGGTTTTTCGGGTGTTGAAAAAATAGGAGGGGCGGTAACCCTTGCGGTTTCCATTGCGAAACTGTTCCATATTTTTGTTTGATTATTAGGAAAGAAATAAGGATTCGATCGAGTAATTCTGAAGTGAATTTAATAATTTATTTATAGTTTGAAGATTTGGATGAGGGATCCTTTTGACTTTGTATAATTTGCGGTAAGCAGTTTATAGTGACGTCTGCAAACAAATACTAGCTCCATACTAGCTATACTAGCGTCTGTTATGTAATACAATTGCGGAGAAGTTAGATCGATAGAGATCTATTCTTCAGTATATTGTCGCTATAATACACAACGACAATTTTACTGCTAAACTGCAGACATTTTCAGACTTTTTATGACAGTTAAACAAATTTGATCTAATGACCTGCAAATAACGAATAGTTTGTAAAATGTAGATACTTATCGCTTCACAATTGCAACATCGATCTGTAATATAATTATTGCACAGATCATTCTGATCGCTGTTCACTTGCAACTTGAAAGTTGTACAAAATATCTTTTCACTAATTCATTTTTCAAAACAGTTAGTCGATTATCTTTTATTCCAAACAAATTTTTTCTTGCTTCTAACAAATCTTTTATTTTAATCAAAATTATATTTTATTTTAGATAGACTTTTTATTTTGAACGAATTGACTTTTCATTTTTTGTGGATTATGTTTTAGTACCAATGGAATATTTTTTATTTTAATCGGTCTTTCGGTTTAGACAAGTCGAATATTTTTCAGTTCGAACAAATGGGTTATTTCAAATAAATATTTTCGTCTCGAGCAACGTACTTATATTTACAGTAATTTGACGAATTTCAGAATATCCATTTTATCCAGAAAATCCCGGTCGATGTCGGAAGTGTGATTTCAGTGTAAAATTCTTTGTAGATCAGGTTTCATTATCAAGAGCAAACAGAAGCTTCTCGCTTATCAAGACACAAATTTCGAGAAAATCTGTTCTGTAAACCGGTTGACGCACAGTGAACAATTGACAATAATTTAGTGGAAGTTATTAACAAAGCAATTCGTTCGAGTTAACGTGTCGGTTGTATACTCAAAGTAGCTTATGTATTCGCCTTTATAAGCTACATTCCTCCTCGGTTCTGCCGTCTTTTTCCCCTCTTCTTCTCTTGAGGTTGATCGACTTCCACCAAAATCAATACAGTCCAACGGTCTTGCCATTCCGTGGAAATGGCTTGCTCTGATTTTATGCGGTTTACTGGTTAAATATTTCAATTGAACGAGTCGAATTTTTACGTTCTTTTCGGTAATTTATATCGCATTTTATTCTGTTAGTTTAAACCTCCCCTTCTTTCGGTGTACGAAGAGTAAACAATCTGTTTCTTTCAGATACACTTCCTGTTATCTTTTTACGTGCGAGGTTTTAGTATTATGATTCGGGAAGTTGTTACATTTTAGTGGTCGAATATTTGATTGCATGGGGACGGAAATAAATTAGGTTGAAAGTTTTGTTTATTTTCTGTAAATACATTTGAAAGACTAATTGCTGTGGATTGATTTATAAATAGTTTAGCGAATTATTTTAAAAATAAAATTATCTAGTACTATCTCTTATCAGATATCGTTGTCATTCTTTTAACTTTGAAGTGCAATATTTATTTTGTCGTTTAGTAACGATGTTATGTAACAGTTTATATTTCATTCGAACTTAATCAGTTTAATAAAAGTGGTTAAAAATGAGTCTGAAAATTTTATTATAATATGTATACTATATTAGATGAATAATAATTTTTTGCGAAAGAGTATATTGATTAATTATAATTTATATAATTGATGAATTTAATGTGCAGTTATTTTACTAAATAAATTTTTGTAAATAAATGAATTTAAAATTTCATGGCAATGAATTGACATGTATGTCAATAAAAAGGTATAATATATGGACTGTAATATAACTGGTGGCGTAGTTCTTGGTTTTATGTGAAGAAATAAGTCAGAAATGTAGAATAGAATTATTTCATTTAAGACTTGAATGATATTGGTCTAGAAAATCGGCTCTGAAAATCTATTCGGTACGCTCGAGTGAGTTTCAACCCCATGGAGTTCAATTTGATTGTCTTTGTTCTAATTTTGCGGATCTTTGTTCCCAGCTCAATGAATATTTTAGTATCAATATTTTAGTAACAGTTTTCAATATTTTAATGTTGATATTTCAGTAAAAGTTCTTAGCATTTTAATATTAATATTTCAGTAGAAGTTTTCAATATTTTATTGCTAATATTTCACAATCAGTAAAAGTTTTCAATATTTTAATGCCAATATTTCAGTAAAAGTTCTTAGCATTTTAATATTAATATTTCAGTAGAAGTTTTCAATATTTTATTGCTAATATTTCACAATCAGTAAAAGTTTTCAATACTTTAATACCAATATTTCAGTAAAAGTTCTTAGCATTTTAATATTAATATTTCAGTAGAAGTTTTCAATATTTTATTGCTAATATTTCACAATCAGTAAAAGTTTTCAATATTTTAACGCCAATATTTTAGTAAAAGTTTCTAACATTTTAATATCAATACTTTAGTAATAGTTTTCAATATTTTATTAAAAGTTCTTAACAGTTGAATATTAATATTCTAAGAAAAGTTCTTAATATTTCCGTACTGATTTATCGAATAAAGAAGGATAAGATAAAGGAAACTTATTATTAATAAATTTTATTAATTCAAGAATTGCTATAAATTATCATAATTTTATACAATTACGTAATTTTACTGATTCAGTTTCTATGTTTGTTTTACAAAATGTTGTTTTGCAACGGTAATGTTTAAGGTCATAATTCTGTTAAATTGTAATTGTTCAATATTTGGTACATCACCATCTTGATATATATAAATATTAAAACTACAGTGATAAATCAAGAAGATCGTAGTAATAGTTCACTAGTAATTTTATTGTAGATTAGTACTCCTCAAAGTTCTCTTACAGCTTTACTAAAGTCTGATGGTCCTCCATTTTGTTGAAAGATCAAAAATCGTAATTAGAAAATCCAAAACCACCTAAAATTAGAAACATCCAAAAATTACAATAATACTTCATGCAACAAATGCAAATACGTTCCTCACGCTATTAAAAAAGAAATAAGCTCCCATAATTTCCTCTCCTATTCCAAAACATTACTCTTCTAAATATTCCTAAGAATTCACTTGACTTTTTAATCTTGAAAATTACTTAATTGAAAATTACAAAGTTTCTACATTTCAGTCAACATTTCCAATTCTTATTTTATATATCCGTCAATGCTAAACATTTATTTCTGAGTTTCAATAAACTCAATGTTAAACACTCATTTTTCCAGAATTTTGCACGAAGTTTCCTACAGAAATTGTTAGAAGCTTGTATATTAAAAGTTTGTTCCACGAAACAGTGTTGCAAGTTTGTTCCATTCGCGAAACATAATTGCGATTTATAGGTCCTTGTATTTTACAAGGAGCGCAGTTTACTTTTAAATAGTACGCTAGTATATCTACTGGCATTGTGAAGGAAGTCTTCTCGTTACGTCCTGCAAAACTTGCGCACTCGTGTTAATTCAACAATGGCGACCTCCGTGTCGAAGTGGTTCAAGAAAACCGTGTTTCTGCTCCTGGAATACGTTCTATGGCGATGTCAACGATTTAAATAGCGGTCTTTACTAATTAACTGTTGAAAAACTTTATAGTTTTGAATATATAATTCTATTTTTGAATGTGTAATTAAATATTGTGGAAGAATTGTATATTTTCGATTATTTTAATATGGGCAGTCTGATAAGAGCTCTGTTCGATCACTTGAGTGAAGGAGGAGTAAAAGTAATAAAGAAAATATGGAGTTTACAATTTTATATTTACTGTTTGGACACTAAAATGTGTTAAATAGATGTATATTTACTGTTTATGGGATAGACTGAAATTTATTTTATTGAAGATTGATTAAGGAAGCTGATCTTTAACCTCCTCATGACCTTTTTAAAGGTCAGTTTAATAGAGTTTAGAAAAATATGTTACTTCGTTTTTTTATTGGTTCTAATAAATCAGGCTTGACAATTATAATATACAGAAACTATACATTAAATTTTTAGTTGATGAATTTAATAATAAATTAAACTACGTATGTATAAATATTCTTGATGAAGTTAAAGTCAATTTTCTGAAGTTTCAAATGAAACAATTTTATTTTACATTTTGTATTTTCTTAAGTGCATTCAATAATTTTCTTCAAACATTAAGTAGTTCTTTTCTGGTATTTTTAATGCAATTAACTCCTAGTACAATCTCATATATTTTACTAAAAATAAGTTTAAAATTACGTTTCTTTCATAAAATGCATTCATTTTCAGTGACATATAATTTTTTGGATCTTTTTATCATTTAACAACATTCACAAT